TCGGCGAGTCGCATGAAGGGTGCGCTGCATCCTGCTAAGGGTGTTCGGCATCTTGTGCTTACTTCCTTGCGTACGGATGACAGCTGCGTATGACTTAATTTATTTTCTGGTGCTTTCACTTCCAGAGACAGTTGTAAGCACTGTGTAACTGCCTCGAGGGTGCTTGACCATTTTAACACAACGTGGTGCGATCATTCCCCTTGCGCGTAGTGAGGGTTCTCCACCCCGCACAACATGATCTACTCGACCACCATTATGGTTACCGCCAAAAAAAAAAACGGTAACCTGGTTGCCGAGTTCACGAAGTGAATTGGCTTGTTTTACAGCGTCGTTGCCAAGCGACGAAAGCCCAACCCCTATGGCTAACACCGGGGGGGGGACTCATGTTTGCATGCCTTAAGGTGGTTTACCATTGACCACGCGTCGTCCTCGAGAGGGCGGATCATTGGGGGGCGCGGGGGGGGTGGAGATTTGGGGGATGCGGGCGAACACCGGCATCATACTCGACGTCTACGATGGACAGGATGCACAGCTCGCAGCCTCCCAAGTCGATTGTTGCCGCCAACGTCATCGTAGCTACGGACACCTAAGAGTGTGCGATGAACTCGAAATGCAACCCGGCTTTCGAGCGCCCAACTGAAACCCCTTGCACAAGCAGAGGTGAGATCTCCACGTGAGGCGGCCCTAGGCATAACGTCGTAGGGGACGTAAGATATCACACCCCCCGGATCGGGTCTCACAGCTCCACGGACGAAGAACATGAAGCACGAGGCAAATGATACTGTACGTTTTCGGAAAGCTCTCGACGAGACGGTTCATTCCAACGCCGCTATGTTCGGCACCGCCACTCTGCTGTGGAGAAACCGAGCTTTTCAAAGTCAGATTTAAAATGAAAAAACAGTTAGGCTCTCGCGTGACCCTCTGTACGCGCGTTTTTCGTGTCCTGACGGAGCTACTTTTGAACAGATTTTAAAAAAAAAAACTCACAGACCAATGAAATCTCATCTATTTGAAAACTTTCAGACCAACAGACCGCCAACACCTGTGTCAGAGCGTGATTTTCTGTGAAAATATTTGCGTGAGGTTTTGGGATGCACAACAGCAGCAGAGTCGCCATAAAGTGTGTGTGTGGTGCGCTGCTGCGCCCAGCTCTACGGGGACTACGACCGTGCGGACCGTCGTCTCGAAATGGCTGACGACGCCGCTGAGGCTCAGGCCCAACCCACTAATTCTTCTCCTGCACCAACTGATGATGCCCGGAGCGAGGACAGCCGTAATGTGATTTTCGCAAAGCGCGTCGGTTGCCTACTGCAGACGGTCCTGCTCCTTCTTCTCCAAAGCCAGACGAGCGATCTGCTCCGTCAAGAGCTGGACCCGCCGGCGCTCCTCCTCCAGCTTCTCCGCCGCCGCACGCTTCTCCTCCTCCGCCCTCACCCTGCTCGCGCGTTCGGCTTCCGCCGCAGCGGTTGCTAAGTCTCCCAGCCGCTGCTGCTCCTCCGCAACTTTTTTCGCCTCCTCCGCTGCTTTTTCCGCACTGCGTTTGGCTGCCATCGCCGTGTTTTTACTTTCACGCGCTTTGGCCGCGGCTGCGTGCGCGACGTCGCGGCTGCGGCTCAGCGCGGCAACGTCCCCGCGTTGAACGACGCTTTCGTACCGCTGCTGAGACGCCCTCTGTATCAAGTCCTTCCCATTTTCAGCTACCAAAGTCGCCTGCTGCGAGCGATATTTTTGTTTTTTTCTCCGCTGTGAAAGCCCTTTGTTTTTGGTCCGTTGGTTACCCATCAGTACTCGATCTTGCAAGACGGGCTGTGTGGCGTAGGAGTGGTGGATTGTGGTGCGGGTTGTTGTGCGGCCTTCGCAGAAACAGAAGCTGTGGTTTTGTCTGTTGGGGTTTACGCAATCTCCACGCACGTACGTGGGAGCCGGTGGAAAGCACCGAAAGTCACATGTTTTTAGGGTCTTTGGCGCCTTTTTGATGTCAGTTCGCAAAACTGACAGATAAACCCCTGCATATGACCTGTCAGCAGGTCTTCTTCGAGTAGCAAGAGCCAATTCGTATGTGGGTGCGAGTAATACGTATTGCAAGTTTGTCCTTTAATATCAAGTCAAATTGTGATTTGGCGGCGTCAGCAGGTGTGTCGGTTCAACTTCTTTTTGGAAGAATCACTCGCACATACAACCAACAGACCACCCGCACATAAACGGTTTTTGGAGGGTCACGCGAGAGCCCAACAGTCCAGGGGGGAGTGGTATCTTGTGTCATATCATCTACGGTAGGCCGATGGTCAGCAACACAACAACAAACCGAGGTTTCGGCGGGACCATAGGCCGCCGCAGGGGGGGCTAAACAATTGCAACACATCTTACCCCAATATAGTTCGTACCGAGGAACAGCAAGCACACACGCCGTAAAAATCGTGAAAAACCCGGCAGACAAGAATGGAAACCCTGCACAAGCGTTGGAAGCGCATCTGCGGGAAACGTTTTGATTTCGCTGAATCCACCAACAGAGAGAGCTTATCCCTTCAGCAGGGACAACGAAAGGCGCAGCGAGGGTTGGAAGTCCCCGGTAGAATGTACCGCAAACGTGTGCCTGACAGGTACAGAACAACAAAGCAACCACCCGAGGACCGGTGCTTATAATAGTTGAGTCCCATACAAATGTAGTCGATGTAGGGCTACGCCACAGAGGAACGGCGGTGCGAGCGAAACAAGAGCTGTTATTTTTTCAACCAATAAGCGTCGAGCGCTCACGCCTTCCGAATATCACTTCGTGCCTTCGAGTCGATCATTGCTGTTGCCACCGCGACCCAAAACAAGCAAGAAGTGCACTCACCAGTTGCCGATGAACTTTATGAATTCCCGTCCGGGAACGTCGTCGCCTCTCGACGCAGAGATGAAGTCTTCCAGACCCTCCCTACACACAGCAAGGACAAGCACATGGAAGCTTAGCTGAGGTTTCAGGGGGAAGGAAAGACTGTTATTGGCGTTTCGGCGACGGGATACAACGCCTCTCTCGCGAGAAAGAACCTCAAAGAAACGGGGAGGATCAGGCAAGCATGGCACCGAGCGGGGGCACCTGATCGAGTTTCGTTTAATACGTACAGAAGAAGTAGTAGCTGGCTTCTTGGTGAACGGAACACAAACATCATCTCTCCGACCCCCGCCTTTGTTGGAAAATTAGGCGAGTGCAAAATACCATACCAGCTCGTGTACAATCAGGCATGTCGTACGGGACGTAGGACAGCAGAGAGAGAGAGAGAGAGAGAGAGAGAGAGAG